TTTTTGGACTACTTTTGAGCACCCCTCCTGTAGAGGGACAGGCCCGCCTTGGCCATACGGGGAGCGAAGAGTGACATAAACATGCCAGCTCGGAGATCAGCGCGGCATTCTCGCACCCGCGCTGGACCCCCCCCTGGCGGCGCCTCTGGCGCCGCTCCGCGCGCCAAAGAGAGGTCCAGCGCGGATCCGAGAAATCAGCGCGGACCTCCGAGTTTGTTATGTTTATGTCAGAGGAAAAAGAACTATGCACATACACCGATTCTGGCCAGGCCCATCCTGAGCCCAGGATCGGTGCATACGCCCTCCTACCTTGGCCAGGAAGGCATATGCACCGATCCTGGGTCAAGGATGGGCCTTGCCAGGATCGGTGCATGTGCATAGTTCTCTTCGCCCGATATGTCTTTCTTCGTTCCCCTGGGGGAGGGCCCGGGGGACGACTTTGAGCGGATTCGGGCCTGGCGGAAGAGCCGCCGACGTCTCCACTGGCCCTCCTCCGACGGACAAGGACGAGATGGTAGAAATAGCACGGCAAGATTGGATCTGGGAAGGTTCGGGGAATTACAAAGTTTCCAGCGGCCCTCGGCCATACTTGCAGCACGGGGTACTGTTCAAAGTTCGCGGGGGCCACGAGGTGTGACACGGTCGGGCGCTGGTCAGAGAGAGCGGTGGGCTGCACCAGTAGCTAATTCAGGCACAAAGCGGAAGAGCAAGAGACGAGAGAACAAGACAGAGACGGAGCCCGCTCAGAACAAATACGTCGGCGCGGATGTGCCGGGGGGGAACATCGCGAGAAACGGGACACCAGCGCGAGGTGAATGCCCTGAGAAAGCCGGTGAACACCAGGATGCATGTGGACAAAACAAGACGGCGTCAGAGGTGGCGCAGCACGGGATAACACGAACCACTGGAAACCTTGGAACGCATCAAAAGAAAAAATAAACACACAATATACGTTCGAGTACCCTCGATTCTTTGAAGAGAGAGTTGAGGGGAACGACAGGGAGGGCACACTCAGGTGGGAAAGCATCGACCTCGAAGCGGCGATACGTCATCAGTAGATAAGCGTTTGGCACCGGATAGCGAATCCGAATTCTCCTGAGAGGTGTGACGGCCATCGGGCCCCTATCAGCGATGAATGGGCAATTGACGTTCAATCCTTCCCCGCTTAGCATTTCCTCCCTTGACGGTGCCCATGGAAAGAGCGAGAGAGAGAGAGAGAGAAAGAAAGAAACGGAGATAGTGAAAGCAAGCGAAAACAAACACAATGGATGTACATCTACAGACGCGGCCGGCGCCCGCGCCATGCATGTGAAGTCAACGATGCAAATGTGGCCGGCGTTCCAGCAGGGGCATCATTTCAAGAGTCTAGACGAACGAAGCATTCGCCAGAGCTGCACGTCGCCGCTGTTCCCAAGGCGAGGGTGCGACCAGAGCCCACTGACAGCGGGACCAGCAATAGGTTAACCACTCGGCAGCAGGTTAAGGGTGGGGGGGTGTAACATAAACAGACAGGCAGGCAGACGGAGGGACAACTATGCAACGACGAATTCGGCTTCAAACTATAATTTCGCGATGGCGCCCGTTGCCAAAACCGGCCCCCCCTTCCCCCTGGAAGCGTCACGACTAGCGCCAGTGCTGTCAGGGAATGGCCGGGGGTAGGTGGTTGCCAGGCGGCGCCGGCGAAAATCGCGACGTTGCTGGTCTCTCCCCGCCCCTCGATATCGCCCGTTTTCACGAGGCGCGCGTCTGTTTCGTCGATTTTGCTGTGAATTCCGATGCTTCGTGGATGTAATTTAGGTGCGTCTTTATACGTAGTAAAGAAGCATGATTAGACACGTTCAAACCCGCTTATTATACATGAGAACATTCATTAGGCACGTGCAATCACTTCGCCTCGGAAAATCAGACACGAGAGCATTTTAAACGCGGATAGACACGCTTAAACATGTTTAAACACATGTCGGCGCGTTCGACGTAGACACTGAAAGACACGGAAAGCGTAAGGACGCGTTTAGACACAAATAAGACACGCAACGACCCGTGCAAATACTGCAAGTATATTACACAGACATACGCGCATGAAAATCGGGTAGTGATTTGCCTGCGGGGGACGTAGATGGCACAGCGGTGGCACGTAACAAATTCGGGCATGAAATATTGTTCGGGAGTGCTGGCATCTATAAGGGGATGGGGGTAGGGTAGTTGGGAAGATGCAGTCGGGAAGTAGGGGAGAAGCAGGACGATGGGAAGAAGGAGGAAAATGATAAGGAGGAGGAGGAGGAAGTGAAAGAGAACAAAAAACAGGCTGGTGGGAACGAGAAATGAAGAGGAAGGGAAGGGAAGAGGAGGGCGAGGAGGACAAGGAAAAGCATGGCAAAGACTAAGAGGAGGATGACCAGGAGGAGCTCGAGAAGAGACGAATACCGAAAGGTGATTGTTTTGGAGGCGACGGGGAGGGGGGGGGGGAAAAGGAGGTGGGCGACGACACTGAGGCAGATTTAGAATGAAGAACACCCTGATGGGAATCAGGATGGTAAGAGGCGCGGGTGAAGGAGGGGGGCGATCAGGACATGAAGCACGGCGGAAAGTAGGAGGAGGAGCACGAAGAGGCCAACACATATTGCGGCGAAGACTGAGATGGAGCGGGGGAAATTGAGAAGCGGTGCGAAGTGGAAGGGGCAGGAAGCGCCACGAGGAGTGGGAGCTCGAGATAGATAGATGGCCCTCCCTCCTCCCCTTCCCCCCGCCTCCCAGCCTCTCTCCCTCGATGTCCTCGTCCTCGTTCTCGCCCTCCTCCTCCTTCCTCCCTTCCCCTCGGTGCCCTCGCTGACGTGCCCCCATCTCTTCAAATGTTTGTCCTACTCTCCGTTTTCCCACCCTCCAAGTGCTTACGCCCACCGCGTTCCCATCGTCATCGTCGTCAAAACCACCAACTTTGGGCTTGTTGGGAGGCTTCTTAGTAGCTTTTGGGGGCGCCTGAGGGATCTAGGGGTTCTCTTGGAGCCTTCCTGGGGCTTCTCAGGGGCGCGTCTGAAGCTTCGGAGGAAACCCTCGAACCATATTGGGGCGCGAATGGCTCGACATGTCAGTTTGTGCTCACGTTGTTGGCTTGCGTGGGATCTTGGATCGGCCTCGCGGGTCCAGCGCCGCCTGCGGATGGCCCCCCCGAAAGAGTGACCACCCCTGTGCACGACCGTGGGGACCAAGTTCAGGCGAGCTGGGCGAGGCGACAGCCTGTGGAATCTGGCTGTCTTGCCAATGTGCACTGAGAGCAGAGCGAATGTCAGACGGCAGAGATGGGCAGGAGTGTGCGGACTGCGAAGAAGGGCTCCGCAGTGTCGGCGCGCGGGTGCACGCGCGAACTGCACGCGGACGTCCAGCACGGCATCTGCATCTTCCGGCGACCGAAGATGGAGCGATACACGTCGGTCGGAAGAAGTAGGTGAAAACATGAAGTAGGAAGGCGGCTAACGTGGATTGGGTCCAGGCCCTCCCAGAGAAGAACAAAACACAGCAACAGCAAGCCGATTCTTGAAGTAGGAAGGCGCTTGAAGTAGATCGGGATCTGGGAATCCAAAAGTACCTACTTTCAACGACTGGCGTGTGCATGTGGCTGCGAGGATGCCCCACGCGAAATTACAACGCTCTGGCCGCATGCATCGGGTCCACAAACATGATGCTGAGGATGCCTCAAACGATCGCCAATCTCTGGTGAGTGGAAATGGAGCCGGAACATGTTCTGCGAAGAAGTCCCAGGCGAAATAGCCACTCTCTGGTCGCCAGAAAAATTCTCCGGTTGCTCGGAAAAGCGACCGGAGATTTGGGCGGAATCGCGATTTTCTGGTCTTCGCCCCATTTGGCGATTGTATGATTTTAAAGCGAGGATGGAGGAACCAGAGAATCGCGACCCCGCCCCATACTTCCTCTAAAAGCACTCTCCGGTCGCCTTCCTGAGCGACTGGAGAATCCCTGGCCTGGTCTCTGCAACGTTGTACCGGGGCCCCAGGGCCTACCGGGATCATCGTCGCACATCTTGCGCGACCTCTCCGGTCCGCACTCTTTAACCCAGCGGGTTGCACGGAGCATATTCTGCGTGTTTTCGTAGACTCGACAAACACAGCAAGTTTGGAGCAAATTAATTCTGTCATCGATCCCCTGCTCGCGCACTCCTCCATCCTCGACCCTCCTCGGGGTGCTGCTCCGCCGCGACCGTGTGCAGGCCGGCGCCCCGGCGCGAGGCGGCGGCGTGGCTCTCCATGCTGCGGGTCGCCGCTGCGAGCCGTCTCCGGGCCGCCTCGCGCGCCGCGGCACGGCAGCGCACGGTGTGCGCATACTCCATCTCTGCGTCGTCGCCTGCGGCTGGCGCGGGTGGTCGGGGGATGGGCGTGGGATCGAGCGGCATCGGATCGGCCGCTGCCAGGATGTAGAGCGGCGCCCCTGCAGGCATCGGGTGCATCAGGGCATCGGATCGGCTCGCAGCGGATCGATCGGATCGAAATGGGTCCCGGAGAAGTGGGGAGCGGGGATGAGCAGGAGGGGTTCAACCAGCCTCGGGTGCATCCCCATCCCTGAGATTCACGGGCCCAGGGCGATGACGATCTCTGGCGTGTGCCCTCCGAAGCCCAAAGGGGATCCTCCAGTGCGGCACCAAGATAAGGTGACCGATCACAAAGAAAGTGGTGTGCTTCAATCTGGCAAGGGTCGGGGGCGGCCGAGAAGGGGGGTGTCCAAGAGGGGGGGGGGGGGGCAAACATGGCCGGCGGCATGTGCGCGGCCCATGGGGGGGGGCCAGGGACGTAATGAAATACGAAGAGGCGCCATGAGATCTGGGGAGGTACCATGGCCCCCGCCATGATATCCCCCCCCCTCTAGACATCACCCCCCTCTGGGCCGCCCCCGAAAGGGGGGGGAGGACGGAGCCGTCACAAAAGAAAAGACGGCATAAACACAAACTGTTTGCGATCCGCGCAGATTTCTTGGATCTGCGCTGAACCTCGGAGCGCGCCAGGGGGCGGCGCCCGAGGCGCCGCCGAGGGGCCCAGCGCGGATATCCAAGAACTCCGCGCGGAGCGCCAAAAATTCATGTCTTCTCGTATTCGGAAGTGGGAGGACGCCTGGCCAAGGTGCTGCCTGGACAGGATCGGTGTTGTCGTATAGCTGGTGCCATCCGAGGGAGGGGGTCTGTTTTCGGCGTCGCACTTCTGGCTACGTGTGTAGAGTCGGCAGGCGTCCTTCGGTGTGGTCAGACGACGGGCTCTTGTAACCCTCTTCGATCTGAGCACGGGCGCATCGTTGCTAAAACTTGTTTAAACCTGGTATCTGCCAACGTCGCCGCGCCAGACGGGTACTGGAGAACGGACGGCTGGAACAACAACTAGAATCACGGGAACTTGGGTCCGTTGTGCACAGGGGGTCTGTGATGAATGACTCGAGGGAGGGAGAAGGAGGCGGGAAGGGGTAGCTGGGAGCGTGCGAGGGGGGGGGTGGAGAGAGCATCCAGCAACGACGACAAGGAGCTTGGGCCCCATGGTCGTGGAGGAGCAACGCCGAATGGCATGCGAGCGTTGGGTAACTGCGCCTCCGCGAGGCCGCCGCACAGTCCGGGCGTCGCCATTTGGGCACGTGCCAGAGAGCGATCGGTGACCTCCGCACCCTGCGCACGCGGAGCGCGTTCGAGCGATCTAACCTTCTGTCGGGCGTGTCCCCCTATAGGGGGATGTTCGACGAAACATAAAACATACCCCAAAAATGCCCCAAGAAGTTGAAACAATACGCAAAAAATAGTCCCCAGACTATTTCTTGACTATTTTTTTATTATTTTTGATTTTTCCTCGAAGATCCCCCTGTAGGGGGACAGGCCCGACTTACGTCTAACCGAAGCGCTCGTACGTCACGACGAACTTCTGGGAGGACGGGAGCGCCTTCTTGGCGTTCGCACGCGCCTCCGCGTTCAGGACCTCGGCGGTACCCCTCAGACCCTTCACGATGGCGTCGTTGCCGCAGACATAGATGTGGACCTTCTCCTGTAGCAGGACGAGAGGCGGCACCGCAACAAGCTTGTCCGCCATCGGGGATGCCTGTCCCAGCTTCGGCTGGAAAGCTTCTAAACTTTCCAGCCGCCCGCCCCAGGACAGGAGCCCCCCATGGCATACCAAACTATACCATGTACTTCTCCGTTCGCACACTCCTGGCAGCCCCAATGCCTCCCGATCGCCCTCAACTCCGCCTCGAAGTCGGGCCTGCCGAACGCAACCGGCACCAGCGGCTCGGCCGGCGCCGCGCCGCCCCCTGGACTGGCCGCACTGTCGGCCCCGCCGAGCCTCCCCAGGCTGGCTGCGGAGCGCAGGGCCCTCGCCGGCCACACGCAGGGACTGACCCCGGGCAAGAGTTCTGAAAGGGGGCGTCCCCCTACAGAGGGATTATCGACGACCATTTAAGCATACTCTAATAAAAATAGCCCAAAAAGGTCCGAAATTATTTAATCGCTTCGCTCATTCCGCCGGCCCGTATTGTGCCATCGCAGGCGTTTGCTTGCGCGTTCGTGGCCTCTTGGAGCCTCGTTGGGGCCGTTTGGGGCCTCTTGGCGCCTCTTTTGAGGCCTCTTGGAGAACTCGGGAGGCCTCCAGGGGGCCTCCTGATTCATTTTTTTTTTTTTTTTTTTTTTTTTTTTTTTTTTTTTTTTAAAAAAAAAAAAAAAAAAAAAAAAAAAAAAAAAAAAAAAAAAAAAAAAAAAAAAAAAAAAAAAAAAAAAAAAAAAAAAAAAAATCCCTGGATTATGTTTGGATATTTTTGTTGACTACGTTTGGGGTATTTTTAATTTTTCGTCGAACATCCCCCTGTAGTGGAGAGCCGTCGGGCCCAGGTTGGAGGCACGAAATCCTGCCTGACGGGGCCGTCGGAGAAGCGAGGGGGCCAAGTCTGAAGCGGCGGCAAGCCCGAGGTGGTCCTCAGAACTCCGACGTCGCTTTCTTTCGTTCACCTGGGACCCCGGAGGTCTGTTTCCCTTGCCCTGGACCAGCTTGTTGTCCTAATCCTAAGTAGTTGTCCGACGGCACCGGGGCCCTGCAAGGGCCCCAAAGGGGCCGAAACCTTTCAAAATCCATCCGCCGCGACAGCCTTTGGAGAACCTCAGCAGAAAGACACACTCCCGGAGGTCCGCGCGCAAGCCCCTCCTCCCCCGCGCGCGGGAGGCGCTGCCAGGGGGCCCCAACGCCGATTCGAGAAGTCCGCGCGGAACCCCGGAAACGTTTGTCTACAATGGAGGCCCGACCACACAGAAACCTTCCACGAGAGACCCAACCCAGAGGCCCCAGGACGTCCATGGATGTCTGGGGTGGGACACGCCTTCCACAGCAAAACCATCGAAACTCGGGGCACCCTGGAGGCAAGCAGGGTGCTTCTTGGCATTGGTCTCCACTGTATGTCACTGTTTGTTCCCAGATTCCGCACGACGAAAGGAGCTGGGGTTCGGTCGGGCATGTGCCCCTACAGGCGGATTTGAACAACACATAAGAAATAGAAAAACATGAAAAAGTCAAACAAAATCGCCCCCAGACTATTTTCTTATTATTTTTGAATATCCCTCCTGTGGAGGGACACGCCCGACTTCAAGCTTGGGGCCACTCTTGCGAAGGGCCACCCTTGCGAGCAGCCGGCCTCGAAGCGCACGAGTCCGCGCGGAAGCGGCTACGGCTGCGCAGGAGGCCCTCCGCCCAGTCCTGCGAGGGCGCGGCCCGCATCCGCTGGGCCGGCGCGCTGTTTGCGCTCGAGGGCGTCGCCAACGGCGGCGAGCGCTGCGGCGGCTGGGCGAGCGCGTGGCCTGGAATCTGGGCGCCGGGAGCTAGTAGTGGAGGCCAGTCCCCATGAAACCTTCCACAAGAAGCCCAACCCTGAGACCCCAGGACGTCCATGGATTTTTGGTGGGGACGTCACGCTGTCCATCGCAAAACCATCGAAACCCACGGCACCCTGGAGGCAAACCAGGTGTTTCTTGGCGTGGGTCTCCATCGTACGGAAAGGATGTGTACGATGCCAAGCAGAACATGTTGTCCTATATTAACAGCGGCCGCTGTCGGCCAGGGTTGCCTTCTGTCTCAGATTGACAACGTCCGCTGCAACACCGACAGCGACTTCTGTTCAAAATGATCCAGAACTACTGTCGATCGTCGTATCCACTCTATCCGTACCCATCTCGCTCGTGCCGATGGAAGGACACCTGCAGTCAGGACGCTCAGGGTAAGGAACAGTTCGGATCCGGGGGGGGCGCGCCAGTCCTTCGGTGCTTCCATGGCTGTTTCTCCCAGTGCTCCTCGTGCACCCAGGCGCCTCGTTCATTCTTTTGAGTTCTGTGAGGTAGCAAACATTCGGATGACTGCGCGGGCGGGATGTCTGGGGTCGGCGCCGGATCACTGAAGGGGCCCTGGGACACACAAATAAATACACGCAAATACAAAGATCCCCCATATTTTCTTATATTTTCTGGGCTTTTGTCTTCCCCCCAACTTCCCATATTTTCCCATATTTTCGGGGGAATCGCAGATTAATTGTGTCTGTGTTTTTTTCCCTCCTGAATCACCCTCCCCCTGTCTGGCGGAGTGCGCCAGGGGCGGGGTCCGAGGCGCCGCCAGGGGGCGAATCTGCACGACCCTGCGAACATGCATGCTCATGTGTGTCCCATCCCCTGAGCATAGCAGGGTTATCATCATCAGTTTGATGTCTCCGTCTCGTCACGCCCGCAAGCTCCCTCTTCCTCTTCTCACTCAAGCGAAGACTCATCCTCAGACTCGCTGGGCCTCATACCCACTCACGCTCAGACTCGATCGCACTCAGACTCACTCCTACGAAGACCACCCTGACTCGGATCCACTCACACTTCGAGCAACTCATACTTAGACTCGCTCTCACAGACCACGGAAAATCAGATCTCTCAGACTCAGACGCAAATATCCTAAGACTCACTCGTAGTCGAACCAACTCGCAGATACTCCGACTCAGTCATACTCAGACCGCCCACACTCACACCAACTCATACTCAGCTTTGTCATGCCCATACTCATACACACAAGCCGCTCACACTCGGATCGTACACGCCCAGGCTGACTCATTCTCAGACTCACTCACACTCAGACTCACACACACCCTCTCAGTCTTTCGTACTGAGGCTCACTCATAGCAAGACCCACTCGTACTCGGAAAACTTGTCTCCCCATGGCCACCGCGATGTAGCAGGCATCGCAGATGAGCGCCCCATGGGAGACGCCATGGAGTACGACACCTGCTCGCTCACGCCCACATTGTGGACATGCTCGAGCGAGGCGCTCGCCATGCACCCGTGACCACAGCGATGCAGCAGGCCTAGCACTCGAGAGGCACGAGGAGCTGCCAAGGGGATTGGCACTCGCCTGCTCGCGTTCAGATGCGGGGTGTGTCTTGAGCGGGGCGCTCGCTGTGCACCTCCGAGTCCCCTGCCTTCAAGCACCACGATCGCAGCGATGTAGCAGGCATGGCCCTTGGGTACCACAAGGAGGCACCACCGAGGAGGAAAGACACTTGCCCGTTCGTGCCCAGAGTGTGGGCATGTCTCGAGCGAGGCGCTTGTTGTGAACCCACGACGCCTCGATGGACGCCCCCCAGGGGGGAGCCGCCAGAGGGGAAGAATACGGCGGCGGAGAGATGGCAGCATACAACAGTGGAGGGAAGCGGAGAGGAGCGCTCACACCCGGACTTGCACATGCTCATTCTGACTCGCGGATGAGTGTGCCCATGCACAGGTATTCAGACGAGGGCATGCCAGAAAGGAATCGGCCCCAAATACAATGGAGGCGCGACCACATGAAACCTTCCACAAGAAGCCTAACCCCGAGACCCGGGGACACTCATGGACTTCTGGTGTGGGGACGCCACGCTCTCCATCGCAAAAACATCGAAACCCAAGACAGCCAGGGCACTCTGGCGGCAAACAGGGTGGTTCTTGGTCGGCAGCGGTCCCAGCTGTAACTCTCACAGCCTGGATCAGCCAGAGGGCATCGACGGACCCCGTCAAAACTGACACCCGGCACGAGCGCCGCGTCTGGCTTTCAATCCACACTTCGTCCGTCACCCCGCCGGGTGGGACAATAATGCGGGCATCCCCGGCCACGCCGTCGAGGACGCGCAGCCGATGGAGAGACCACCCTGGGCCCCGACGGCCTCCGAAGAGCTTCCGAAAATCACCCCAAACGTTCGAACCCCGATGTTCGTCCTCCTCCTCCTCTTGGGCGCCCGAATTATCCGGGGTCACTCGGGCCCGGGGTAACTTGGGTTCGGAGTCCCGAATAACGAACCCGAGCTAGCCGTGACCCGGAGTTACCCCAGATGACTTGGGGCTCTGGACGCCCGAATTCTGCAGGGTAGCTCGGGCCCGGGGTAACTCGGCCTTGGGTTCCCGAGAAACAAACCGGAGTTAGCCCTGACCCGGGTTACCACAGATGATTCGGGGCTATGATCCACCTCCTACTCCTCCTCCTCCTCCTCCTCCTCCTCCTCCTCCTCCTCTTCCGACCCAGGGGTCAGCCTAAATTTTCGAGCAGAAACGCAGGACCCCCAAGGGCCTTGTCCTCCTCCTCCTCCTCCTCATCCTCCTCCTCCTCCTCCTCCTCCTCCTCCTCCTCCGCCTCCCTCCTCCTCCTCCTCCTCCGCTTCCCTCCTCCTGACCGAAGACCCCAAGGCAGTCAAACCGAAAAACCCTTAAGCCCAAGGACCCTCAGGCCCCATGGCCCTCAGGCCTGAAAGACTTAAAACCTTCAACCTGCGGCCCTGAGGCCTCGAAGACACGAGGACTATAAGACTCTGTTGCCATGAGACCTGGAGGCCCTAAGGCTATCATATTATAAGGCCCTCGGCCCCTGAGACACTACGGCCATAGTACCCCGAGACGAGCCCCTAAGGCCCTTAGACCTTTAGGCCCTAGGACACGCTGACTCTGGGGCCATGGTGTGATCCCGCCCGCCCTAAAGGAATCCCTTTGGAATCCGCCACAAAAGGAACTCCTTTAAGGCGGACGTACAAGTTGACCGACAGCTCAAGGGGTACCAGGGGGAATAAATGCGGGAAAAAGAGCAAGGGAAAAAGAAACACATACTAAAAAAACGTATGGGACTCGAACTTGTTTGAAGAATTGTTAGATTGGTACCTCCGCCACACAAGGGATCCTTTTGTAACCCGCCACAAAAAGAATCCTTCTGGAATCCGCCACAAAATGGATCCTTATGCATTCCGCTACAATAGGAATCCGTGTGTAATCCGCCACAAGACGAATAGAGGGATTCTTTTGTAATCCGCAACAAAAAGGAATCCTTGTGTAATCCGCCACAAAAGGACTCCTTTTGGAATCCGCCACAAAGGGAATCCGTTTGGAATCCGCAACAAAAGAAATCCATGTGCAATCCGCCGCAAAAGGAATCCTTTTGGAATTCGCCACGGAATACATTTCTTTAAGGCGGACGTACAAGTGGACTGACGGCTCAAGGGGTACCAAGGAAAAAAGAAACAATAAAAATAACAAGAGAAAAAGGGGGAGAAAAAAGAGAGAACAAAAAAAATAGTATGGGACTCTCTCGTTTTTTGATGAATGTTTGGTGTGGTACCCCCGCCACAAAAGAAATCCTTTTTGCAACCCGCCACAATAGGAATCCTTTTGGAATTCGCCACACAAGAAATCCTTGTAACCCGCCACAATAGGAATACATGTGTAATCCGCCACAAAAGGAATCCTGTTGTAATCCGCCACGATAGGAATCCTTTTGGAATCCGCCACAAAAGGAATACTTCTGGAATCCACCAAAAAAGGATCCTTATGCAATCCGCCACAAAAGGAATCCGTTTGTAATCCGCCACAAAAGGAATCAAGGAATTGTTTTGGAATCCGCTACAAAAGGAATCCTTGTGTAATCCGCCACAAAAGGAATCCTTTTGGAACCCGCCACAAAAGAAATCCTTCTGGAATCCGCCACAAAAGAAATCCTTTTGCAATCCCCCACAAAAGGGATCCTTTGGGAATCCCCCATAGAAGGAATCCTTTCGGAATCCGCCACAAAAGAAATCCTTTTGCAATCCCCCACAAAAGGGATCCTGTTGGAATCCACCATAAAAGAAATTCCTGTAAGGCGGAGGTACAAGTTGACCGACGGCTCAGGGGGTACCAGTGAAAAACATATGGAAAAAAGTTTAAAAAAAAGCGCATGGGACTCTCACGTTTTCTGATGAGTTGTTGGTTGGGCACCCCCGCCACAAAAGGAATCCTTCTGCAATTCGCCACAGAAGAAATCCTTTTGGAATCCGCAACAAAAGAAATCTTTTTATAGCCTTCCACAATAGGAATCCCTTCGTAATCCGCCACAGAAGGAATCCTTTTACAATCCGCCACAAAAGGATTACATAAGGATTTTCGCTGTGGAATATTACCACTTGAACCCAATTCGCCACAGGGGCCCAGGACCGGAGGGCCTCCAAACAAGCAAAAACAAAAAAACAAGAACAAAGCAAAACAAACAAAACAAGCTGAGACTCTCTGCGTTTTTCAAACCTACGTCCAGAATGCAATTAAAATAACTTGTATGTTGATTGTACTCAGCTTGATCTGCAAAATCCGATCGTGTACGACCCAAATGTATTTGAATTTAATTGTAGTCTGATCGTAGATGTGAAAATCGCAAAGAGTCCCAGCTTGTTTTGCGTTTTGTGCGTTGTTCTTGCTTTTTTTTGGGCTGGTATCCCCCTGGGCCCTTGGGCTTGGGTTTCAAAAAGATTTCCTTGGTGGAATATTACCACTTGAACCCAATTCGCCACAGGGGCCCAGGACCTGAGGGCCTCCCAAAAAAGCAAACAAAATCAAACAAAAACAAAAACAAAGCAAACAAACACAACAAGCTGAGACTCTCTGCGTTTTTCAAATCTACGTCCAGAGTATAATTAAAATCACTTGCATTTTAATTGTACACAGCTTGATCTGCATAATCCGATCGTGTACAACCCAAATGTAATTGAATTTGAACGTATTCTGATTGTATTTGTGAAAAACTCGCAAAGAGTCCCAGCTTGGTTTGCTTGGTTTGGTTGTTTTTTCTTGCTTTGTTTGCCTTTGTTCCTTTGTTGGCTGGTACCTCCCTAGGCCCTTGGGTTTGGGTTTCAAAAGGATTTCCTTTGTGGAGGATTACGAGAGAATTTCTTTTGTGGCGGACTAGAGAAAGAAAGAGAGAGAAAGAGAGAGATAGAGAGAGAGAGAGAGAGCGAAGAAACTCGACATGATAATGAGAAACACAAATTGTGCGAAGCCTCGAAAACGCTTACACGAGCCTTGTTCCACTGTTCCAAGGGGCGGAGATCCAACCCTTACCCTCCCCCTCCCCCTCCTCCCTCCCCCTCCCCCTCCCCCTCCCCCTCCCCTCCCCCTACCCCTCTCATCCCCTCCCCCCTCCCTCCTCCCTCCTCCCTCCTCCTCCTCCCCTCCTCCTCCTCTCCTCCTCTCTCCTCCATCCTCCTCCTCCCTCCTCATCCTCCTCCTCCTCCTCCTCCTCCTCCGCATCTCCCCCTCCTCCTCCTCCCCCCTTCTCCTCCTCTCCTCCTCCTCCTCCGCCTCCTCCTCCTCTCCTCCCTCCTCCTCCTTCTCCTCCCCCCCCTCTCCTTCTCCTCCTCCTCCTCTCCTCCCCTCCTCCTCCTCCTCCTCCTCCTCGAGTTTCGCTCTGGGGGAGCCGTTTGGCGCCGAGGTCAGCGACGTCTGCTGGGAGTCCGCCCGCGGACTCGCCTCGAGCGGCGGCGGGGCGGAGCGGCCCGGCGACCTGGCGCTGGGCATGGCGTCGGGCGGGCGCTCCTCGCGGAGCGCACGAAGAGGAGGAGCAGGAGGGGAGGAGGAGGTAGGAGGAGGAGGAGGAGGAGGAGGAGGGGAGGAGGAGGGGAGAGGAGGAGGAGGAGGAGGGGGGGGAGGAGGAGGAGGAGGAGGAGGAGGAGGAGGTGAGGAGGAGGAGGAGGATGGAGGAGGAGGAGGAGGTGGAGGTGCAGGAGGTGGAGGAGGGGGGGAGGAGGTGGAGGAGGAGAAGAGGAGGTGGAGGATGAGGAGGTGGAGGTGGAGGAGGAGGAGGTGGAGGAGGAGGAGGAGGAGGTGGAGGAGGCGGAGGAAGAGGAGGAGGAGGAGGAGGAGGAGGAGGAGGAGGTGGAGGAGGTGAAGGTGGAGGTGGAGGACGAGGAGGAGGAGGAGGAGGTGGAGGAGTTGTGCGGATAGCAAGCGGGGACGCGCAAGGATATACCGAACGAATGGGCGAGAGAGGGTCAGCTCTTCTTCTGTGTCTGAAGCCCAGCGCTTGCGCGCCAGGCGCCAGCTTCCAGGCCTGCTCAGCTTCTCCGCTGGGCCGAAGACCTGCTGACTGTGAACGCCACGATGGAGAACCGACAGGAGCGAGCATTTAGTGAACACCCTGGGCGCGTTCAAACGCACAAGGACGTACCAGTACTTTGTGTCCTCCTTGGAGGTGTGCGTACGACCTGGACAGATTGCATAACCATTGGTATCAACATAAAACTAAGAGGTCCGCGCGGATTTCTCGGATCGACGCTGGGCCCCCCTCCCTGGCGCGGGGAGCGCGCCAGGGGCGGCGCCGGAGGCGTCGCCAGGGGGTCCAGCGCGGATCCGAGAAATCCGCCCGGACCTCTGAGTTTTCATGCTTATGTCATTCTTCGCTCCCCTAATATTGGGGTGACGCCGACAAACGGGGTTTTGTAGCGACGATGGTAGGAGGAGACCGCCGCATGGCCTGGGCCAGTCCTCCCCGACCCACCCCATGGCCTCGCGGACCGTGGCCGCGCCCCCAACGGATAGACGGGGCGCGTCTGTCCGCGCATGCCCTACTCGGAACGCATCTAAAGCACATATATATATATATATAGCAATCTTATGTGTATGTATACGTATACATACACACACGTGTCATATCCATACACACATGCGACCGCGCACCCACGGGATCGCATCGGAATCCTCTCCTGACGGGAAAAGGTATGGGCATGGGACGTCCGGCTCGGGGGGGTCGTCGACCTGAAATCGGCAATACGTCGCCGACAGATCGGCGACAAGCACCCCATGGCGAAAACCCACTGTCCTGGGCCATCGGGAACCCACTCCGTGATCAACTGGAGATTGGAGATTGGAGGTCGATGCGTCCACCCTCAGGCTACCCCCCCGAACGCTGCCCCTGATGACCGCGAGGGCGTGGATCGTGCCGACTTCAGCGGTGGTCTCTGACAACGCGGCGATCGTTCAACCTTGAACGATCGGCCGTTTCCGAAACGTCAGATCGTTCGACATCGACCGCTTCTGGCTCGCCGGCGGCGTTCAACGTTGAGCGATCGCGGCGGGGTCGCCGCTGGTCGACACGACGCGAACCTGCCGTATAGTCGGGGCTCCATGGATAGGACACACGAGAGGACACCAGAGCTTTCCGAGGGCTACATTACCACAGGAATGTAGCAGGCTTGGGTCGCGAAACAAAGGAAACAAGGTTACCCTTGATTTGGCAAGGTCGACCTACTAATCAACCTCGACTTGAACGGTTTCCCACAGGGCCGTAGGCGACCCGAGGAGGAGGAGGAGGAGGAGGAGGAGGAGGAGGAGGAGGAGGAGGAGGAGGAGGAGGAGGGAGGAGGGAGAGGAGGAGGAGGAGGAGGAGGAGGAGGACGAAGTAGAGGAGGAGGAGGAGGAGGAGGAGGAGGAGGAGGAGGAGGAGGAGGAGGAGGAGGAGGAGGAGGAGAGGAGGAGGAGGAGGAGGAGGAGGAGGAGGAGGGCAGGAGGAGGAGGAGGAGGAGGAGGAGGAGGAGGAGGGGGAGGAGGGGGAGGAGGAAGAGGAGGAGAGGAGGAGGAGGAGGAGGAGGAGGGGGAGGAGGGAGGAGGAGGAGGAGGAGGAGGAGGAGGAGGCAGGAGGAGGAGGAGGAAGGAGGAAGGAGGAGGAGGAGGAGGAGGAGGAGGAGGAGGAAGAGGAGGAGGAGGAGAAGGAGGACGGGCCGCCTAATTAAGCTCTTCAGAGAAACCCTCCACCTCGACCGTATGCTCGCCGCTCGTGACTGCCCCGATCCCTCCCCCCCTGCGCCCGGCCCAATCCTCGGCGGCTGGCTCGGGCGCGCCGGCCTCTCCCTCGTCGTGGCTCGCCGTGGTGAGGTCGCTGAGCCACAGCACGTCCAGCTCCGACCTGGTCGGGGGCTGGGGGTTGTGCACAGTTGCGCCCGAAAAGACGCCCCCAAAGTGGATGGTTTGTAAAAAGGATTACACCAACAAAAACAATCAATGGATGGTTTGAAATGAAATCAATGAAGAGATCGACCGGGACCCTGGAAACCCGGAACCCACCGAAATCGGCCGGGAACCAATCACCAGGAACCCGGGAACCCGGAACCGGGAAACTGGGAACCCAGCCGGCCACCAAAATCGGTGGGACACTTTCGCCAAATCTTTCAATTTCCGCTAGGAATCATTCAGTGCAAGCACTGATTCGGGAAAAATGGCATCCCCTCGGGACACGATGCTTGTACACCAACCCCGCAAACAAGCTGGTCGGGCACAAGGCACGCGGGTGAGGGAGGTGGGAACAAATCGGCCTCCGAGGCCTGGTTGGTAGCTGCCGCGCACAAATCTTCACTTCGTGCTTGTCCATCTGGGCGCCTCTCCTTGATTTCGGCCCGATGCCCGTGGTCGGGCCCCGGGGCAGGCAGAAACGAATCCGGAAGGGGGGCAAAAACCCTCGAAGCGGTTGGGACCTCCAGGAACGCGTATTTAGAGAGTCAAATCGTCGGATGTATGGAAGGGTGTCCCTGGCCCAAGGTTTGGGCGCCCGAATTATCCTGGGTAACTCGGGCCCGAGGTAACTCGGGCTTGGATCCACGAAAAACGAACCCGAGTTAGCCCTGACCCGGGTTCTCCCTGATGATTTAGGGCTCTGGACGCCCGAATTATCCGGGGTAACTCGGGCCCGGGGTAATTCGGGTTCGGATTCCCGAGAAACGAACCCGAGTTAGCCCTGACCCGGGTTCTCCCTGATGATTTAGGGCTCTGGACGCCCGAATTATCCGGGGTAACTCGGGCCCGGGGTAATTCGGGTTCGGATTCCCGAGAAACGAACCCTAGTTAGCCCTGACCCGAGTTCTCCCAGATGATTTGGGGCTCTGGACGCCCGAATTATCCGGAGTAGCTCGGGCCCGGGGTAACTCGGGCTCGGATTCCCGAGACACGAACCCAAGTTGGCCCTGACCCGAATTACCCCTGATGATGTGGGGCTCTGATCCTCCTCCTCCTCCCACTCCTCCTCCTCCTCCTCCGACCCAGGGGTCAGTCAAGTGTTTCAAACAGAAATAAGACCCCCAAGGGCCTTGTCCCTATCCTGATCCTCCCCGTCCTCCTCCTCCTCTTCCTCCTGCTCCTCCTCCTCCTCCTCCCTCCTCCTCCTCCTCCTCCTCCTCCTTCTCCTCCTTTCTCCTCCTCTTCCTCCTCCCCAGCGAAAGCAACCTCAAAGGACTCAGAGGTGAATGTAAGGAGCGCTTCCAAAACAAGTTCTCCCAAGGTGCGTGGTCCCTCCTGGCAAGCGGCCGTCATCCCAAGAGCAATATGAAGGCCCGTCCCCGACTTTCCCTGCCCATCCCTGCGGCCCAGCTCCTCAAGGAAGGAGGGGCGACGTAGGGAAGAAAGCCAGCTTAAGAGGAGAGCGGATGTAACCCCCAGGTTTCGGTTAGGGTCGGGTCGGCCTAACCCTAGCCTCCCTCATTAGCATGTGATGGTCCTCCTCCTCCTCCTCCCCCTCCTCCTCCCTCCTCCTCGTCCTCCTCGTCGTCCTCCTCCTCCTCCTTCTCCTCCTCCTCCTCCTCCTCCTCCTCCTTCGAAAGCCAGTTTTCCGCGCCGCGCCGGAGCTCCCCTGGGGCCCCCCCCTGCAGGCACCGCGGCGGCACGAGCCCGACCGAGACCAAGGTGGCGACCAGAACTGGGGAGCAAAACCGGGAGAACTGGGGACCAAAACTGGGGATCAAAACTCGGGGAGCATAGCCTCAATGATGAAAGCTGGGAAAATCAAGGGATGCCGATTCCGCTGCTCCCCAGACCTCTCCATGGGTGCGTTCTGACGGGCAGATCGAGGACAATCTAGCCGCGGCGACGAGGGCCTCCCGGGAGGCTCAGCAGGGCGAACAACGGGAGAGCGGCAGAGGTAGCCGCAGCCGTTCCTCCAGCATCCCCGCCCAACAAGAAGCAGCCAACAGGAAACATGAACATCGGAACCACGTGACACCTAAGCACCACTTCTGGGAACACCCAGACCTTTCTGCGGCAACGCATGCGGACCGACGCCAGATCGACGGTACTCGACGTCAAGTCGGCGCTGTCTCATCGACGCCCAGACGACGCAAAGCAACGGCACTCTGACGACGGAGCTGCGAGGGTGCGCAAGGCTCTTGTGATTTGCCGCCGAGAGGCCTACGATATCTACACAGATCGCCTGCCCCAAGCCTGGCCCGTGACCGGGAGCGGTGTATAGACGCCCTCCTGGCCTGGCCAGGGAGGCAGATGCACCGCTCCTGGGCCCAGGATGGGCCAGGCCTGGGGCAGTGGAGGGAGGGAGGGAGGGAGGGAGGGAGGGAGGGAGGAGGAGGGGAGGGAGGGAGGGGGGGGGGAGGGAGGGGAGGGAGGAGGCCGGGGATGGAGGAGAGGGAGGGAAGGAGGGAGGGAGGGGGGGAGGGAGGGAGGGAGGGAGGGGGGAGGGAGGAGGAGGAGGGGGAGGAGGAGGAGGACACGCTATGTGCGCTCGCGTCATATATGACGTCCTACCCCTCCCTCCCATCCCTTACCATGGCGCTTATTTTCTCTATCCGCGGACGCGTGTCGTAGCGGACCTGTGGCTCCGCGCGCGAGTGCGTAGTGGGTGGTGGTGCACGTGCACGTGCGTGCGTGGTGCGTGCGTGAGTGCTGTTCGTGCGTGCGTGCGTGCGGCGAGCGTGAGTGCGGCGTGCGTGCGGAGTGCGTGCGTGCGTGCGTGAGTGCGTGGTGGTGGTGGTGGTGGTGGTGCTGGTGGTGGGGTTTGTGGTGGTGGGGTGGTGGTGCGGCGCGGTGGTGGAGGGCGGATGGGCGCGCGAGAAAGAGGCCCGCGCTGGGGCGAGAACGCCATCCTGAACGACGGAGGCCAAACACCGATCCGAAAATGAGGCCCACGCTGCAGCGGGAGCACGATTCGGAACGAGTCGGGAGCAGAAATGAGGCCGGCGCCTCAGCGAGAGCAGCACTTTGGAAAAAACGCAAGCTAAAACCCAACTCCCGGGAATCCTGTGTAGTAAAAAAAGAGTACGCGGGGGGGGGGTCTAATACTTTCAGGCCGCCATCGGGGGAAGAGGGAGAGCAGTATTCACATTGAGTAATTGTGGAGGGAGGGGGAGCGGGGAGGGAGCCTGTTGACCCAGCACCAAGGCAGCTGCGGCGCCGTGAGCACCCTCTGGGCGTCGAACTCCTCGCGGAACGCCGCCCTGTCGGCCCTGCTCTGGCGCTTCACCGCCTGCCGGAAGAGGTAGGCGGCCGCGTCGCCCTCTGCCTGCCGGCATCAGCAGGGAAAGAAAACGCTGCACAGACATGCGGTCAGAAGTGATACCAAGGAGCTGCAGGAAAGACAGTCAAGATGCAAGCCCCTTGGACGCCCATGGCGAAGCATCTTCTAGGGGGATCGGCCGTCGAGAGTGGTTAAGGACGCACCGAGGAGGAAAGGATGCAGTGGTATCCTTGGGAAGGTTACCAATCCTTACCATCGGCTTCGACTGTACAAATAACAGTTCGTGGCTGTGTGTGCTGATGTTTCGATGTAGAGGCCTCCCAAATGGGGTCCGAGTAGATGAGGTCAGAGGCTCGCGCCGCATGGCCGATGCATCGACAATGCATCGGCGATGCATCGGCAACGTCGAAGTGGAGAAACTCCACCTCATCATCGAGCCGCATCGCCGATGCATCGGCGATGCGCGGCGATCCTCCGACCCCATCTACTAAGAAGTCCAGGTCAAGGGAGCCTCCCGTGCCAAATCGAATCAACGCCGACCGACGCCAGTGGTCGCTGATCGACGTCGGTCGGCGCCAAGGGAACGCCTCCTGGACTCCTGGACTGATGGACTCCTGAACTCATGGACTCATGGACTGCCAGACGCAAGCGCGCGTGAATGCGGTTTAAAAACTGAACCTCGAGGACACGCAAGGCCCCTCCTCCTCCTCCCCTACCTCCTCCTCCTCCTCCTCCTCCTCCTCCTCCTCCTCCTCCTCCTCCTGGTCCCCCTCCTCCTCCCCCTCCTCCTCCTCCTCCTCCTCCTCCTCCTCCTCCTCCTCTGAACCTTGAGGGCGCACGAAGCCCCCGTGGTTTGCTACCGAACCCCCTCGGGGACCGCCAGACCCAGAGCACCGTCGGGCGCACCCCGGCCAGGCCCAGACCCAACCTGTGCAGGCTCGGCGGCGAGCCCGGGGGGAGGGGGGGCGATGTCCTCCTCTGAAGGGGTCCTGGGACACACAAATAGATGTACAGAAATAACGGAGTTGCGGTATATTTACCTACGTTGTTCCTGGGAGTCGACGATTAATTGTGTCTGTGTGTGTCTTTCCCCCCTGATTCTCAGAAAGCTCGGAAGCTCCCTGGCCTCCTGAGAACTATTCTGAGCCTGCCCTGGAGGCACGGCAGCAGTCTTTCTCGCGGCAGGCTGGCGCGCTGCTGAGAAGCGCCGCCGCCTTCCGAGAGGGCCGGTTCCTTCTCGCCTCCCCCCGTCGCCCGCCTTGCCCTCCCTCGGGACGATCGTTCCCCGTGCATTTTTTTGTCGTTTTCGCGCGTGTTCTTTTTTGTTGCTGCTGCTCGGTGATCCGGCCGCCGCCGAAACATGTGCAGGCAGCTCCGGCCATGCCGTCCTGCTTGCCGGGCCTGGGCGCTCCTGCCTGCCTCCTGGAGCCCCTCGGCTCTCCTCCTCCCTCCTCCTCCTCCTCCTCCTCCTCCTCCTCCTCCTCCTCCTCACTCTCCTCACTCCTCCTCCTCCTCCTCCTCCTCACTCCTCCTCCTCCTCCTCCTCAATCCTCCTCCTCCTCCTCCTCGTCCTCCTCCTCGTCCTCCTCCTCCTCCTCCTCGTCTTCCTCATCTCTCCTCCTCCATTCCTTCTCCTTATAGATAACTCCTCTATGTCGCACCCCGAGGCCAGTCTTTAGGGCGGGCCGGGCTTTTCGCCTCAGACTTCCTCACCATTTATGACTCTGAAGCTTAAAAAGTGACAACAGTTTCACAGATAGAGGGAGGGTGGTTTTCAAAATGTGGCTCTCGCCTTAGCGCCACGCACATTCGCTTGAAATATTTGCAAGAGTTTCACGGATTGAGGGCGGGTGGTTTTCAATATGTCGCTCTCGCCTTAGCGCCGCGCACATTCTTTCTAAACAATTGCAAGAGTTTCACGGATAGAGGGCGGGTCGTTTTCAAAATGTTGCTCTCGCCTTGACACCACGCACATTCGTTCTTAAACATTTGCAAGAGTTTCACGGATTGGGAGCGGGTTGATTTCGGAATGTGGCTCGCGCCTCAGCGCCGCGCACATTTGTAAAAAAACAGTTGCAAGAGTTTCACTGGTTGAGGGCGATTCCTTTTCAACATGTGCCTCTCGCCTTAGCGCCGCGCACATTCGTTTTCGAAAGTTGCAAGGGCTTTACGGATTCCATGATCAACGTATCAGAAATGACGTCTTGGAAGGGTACAGGATTTCACGGGTGCAACAGTTACGTGGATTCGCGGTGTTGAAGTCCTGAAAATGGCGTTCTGGCACGATTCGGGATCGTCAAGACGCAGCAGTCAGGTTGATACGTGGCGTTGAAATCCCGAGAACAATGTTTAGGCATGATTCAGAATCTTCAAACGGTCATCTTCCAACGAGGCAGCTCCCTCAATGGTAATGAACAGTTGTGGGGGCCTATGAAGGGGGAGCTTGGAGGGAGGGTCAATTCCAACATCGTTGATGACTCTTGGTTTTACACTGGTCCTCCTCCTCCTCCTCTTCCTTCTCCTCTCTCCTCCTCCTCCCACTCCTCCTCCACCTCCTCCACCTCCTCCTCCTCCCTCCCCCCACGCCGCGGGTCCGCGTCGCGGTGACGTCTGCGTTGGTTGCTGCAGATCGCTGGGTTCACGGATGCCACGCCAGGGGACACTCCAACAGTCCTACCATTGATCGACAAGTGTATTGAATATGATACCAAGGCTTTAACATGGCCTGACCATGTTTAAGCACGCGTGCACATGTGTCAGACATGTTTCCTTACATGTGCGAAACATTTTTTAACACTGTTAAACGTGTGGAAAATATTTGGCAATATGCCTCCTCTCCATAGATCGTCTTCCGCAGCGCTAGGTCTCAAACAATCGCAACTTTCAAGTAGCGCGGGTTGTTCACCGTCGGCCGACTCTGGGCCGCTGGCAGGATCAGCCAGCATCGAACCAGGGAGACGCACCGTGTCAAAACGTGAATCGGACTTCTGCAGCGCAGGTCGTTCGCAGCAAGCCAATCCTGGGCCACTGGTGTGTTCCACACTGAACGCACGCACTGGGGCCGCCGCTGCGTCTTCGCGGCGCGAAGCAGCCGTTGGACCAGGCGCCTCGCGCGCGGTCGTGTGCAGGTGCAGGTGGACCTTCTGGCGCAAGCGATCCGACTGCGCGATGCGGGTGAAGTGCTTCCTCTGGGAAAACAACATCTGCGTGAACACGCACGTTCGAAGGTCCGCGCGGATTCCCGGGGTCGGCGCTCGGCCCCCCTCCGTGACGCACGGAGCGCGCCAGGGCCGGCACCAGAATGGCCTCCAGCGAGGTCCAGTGGATCCAGAAAGACCGTGCGGACTGCCGAACATGTACGTGTTGTGATCTGAGGGCGGTCCCTGGGCCCAGGATGGGCCTGGCCAGGGGCAGTGGCTGTGTGTAGTTCTCGTCGCCCGATGCCATGAGGAGGAGGAGGAGGAGGAGGAGGAGGAGGAGGAGGAGGAGGAGGAGGAGGAGGAGGAGGAGGAGGAGGAGGAGGAGGACGAGGAGAGGAGGAGGAGGAGGAGGAGGGAGGAGGGACGAGGGAGGAGGGAGGAGGAGGGAGGAGGAGGGAGGAGGAGGAAAAAGGAGGAGGAGTGGCCGTCCTCCCGAACAGGAACTCGTCGACGCTGCGGGTCATCCAGAAGAAGTGGGCCTCCTTTAGGGGCAGCGCCCGCTCCTCCGCCTCCGAGCTGTCCTCGGCCAGAGCGGGGCTGTCGCACATGAGGGGGACCTTGTCCCAAAACTTCTAGATTTAGGTCGGGCATGTCCTCCCATAGGCGGATCTTGGCAAAAACATAAAAATAGTCAATAAATGCTCAAACATAGTCATCAACAACAATAACAGGCACATCGTGCCCAGGCTATCGATTACCATCTCCGAATCTTCCTGCTGTAGAAGGACGCACCCAAAGTCTTTCTAGATATGGGGCGCAAAAGGACCTACTACAGCTATGCGCCCCCATGGGAGGCGCACGTCCGAACAGAACATACGGTACACAAGCATGTTGCCTGATCATATCGCTACCCCGTTGGTATGGCCAGAGAAAACGCCCGCCACACAGCACGTGCTATGAGATTTTTTAGTGCGTGCGTCACCCCTGGGGGGGGGGTGACGACCACATAGTAGAAGTGTGCCTGTGTGATGCCCGTGATACTAAAACAAATACCAAGCCCCAACTGTTACTATATTGCGGGCCGTCGCGCTCGGATCTCGAAACCGTCGAACACGGACGGGCCCGGGGACGAAGAACCAAGACCCAGGGACGAATTCGGACTCGATCGTCAGGGGAGGCCTCCCGGCAGGTCTTGCGGCGAGCCTCTGGGGCGCTGGCCCAGGGAGGAAAGGGCGAACGAACGAAGATGAACGCGCAGGCGGGAGGCCAGGGCCAGCGGGACGAGGCAAGCAGGCAGGCGGGCAGGGGCGGAGACGGGACAGCAAGCAGGGAGGGGAGGAAGAAAAGGACGAGCAAAAGGAGGAGGAGGGGCAGCAAAAGGGCCGGGCCAAGGGCTGGGAGGGAAGGGCCGCCCGCGACGAAACTATGAACCTACGGCGGCGACAGGAAGCGGTCGTGATGGGCGTTTGGAACCGTTGTGGGCGTGGGGAAGGGCGTCGGGATCGTTGCGGGCATCGGGGATGGCGTCGGGGTCGTTGTGGGCGTCGGGAAGGACGTCGTGGTCGTCGGGATCGTTGTGGGCGTCGGGAAGGGCGTCGGGAATGGCGTCAGGAAGGGCGCGGGGTGCCGGCCGAACCCAGCGCGCTGCGGCTTGCAGAGGGGAGGGAACCTATGCGGTATCACCCACCGCGCCGCCGAGAAAGGGACGGCCGGCAGTGTGGGGGGGGGGCGCCAGCACGCCGCCCGCGGAGGGGCGCGGGGGGGGCGCCCGCGCTGCCCAGCCAGGGCGAGGGCCGGGGGCGCTAGGCTGCGCCAGCGTGGCGGCTCACACGGCGTCAGCCGTGGAAGCAGCTGTGGCAACGGCCAAGCGGGCCGCAGCCACCCCCGCCTTTCCAGACTGGATCTGGAGGTGCCCCAACGCCGCCCGCGCGTTCTCCTGCACAGGGAAATGGTGAGTCGCTGGGCGTGTCGGACTGCTGCAAGTGCGGCGTTTTCTGAAGGGGCCCCAGGACACGCAAATAAATACACACAAATAACAAACTTCCTCCTATTTTCCAGCATGTTCTAGGTTTCTGTCTCCCCCCCCACTTCCCATATTTTTGTGTCCGTGTGTTGTTTCCCCTCCTGATTTCCCCCCGTGGCGTCAGCCACCCGCTTGTCCAGGACCCCGAAGGCCCCGCGCGCCTCGCGGCCCCACCCGCCGCCGTGGGCCTCCACCACCACGGGGGGGAAGGCGAAGCCCTGCTCCGCGCATAGCCGCGCGGTGTCCAAGTGCAGCCTTTTGAACTCTTCGCACGTGTCCGTCGGCGCGCTCGATGAGGCGGCCGACGCGGCGAGGAGATCGGCGCGCAACCCGGGCGTCGCGGCAAAGTCCCAGGCGGCCGCCGCGCCGTTGCGCCATCGGAGCAGGTAGACGTTGGCGGGACGGCGGCCGTTGTCGCCCACCTGGTGCCCGCCTTGCTCGCCCCCGGGGGTGGTCTCCCCGTTGGGGCGCGGGGACAGCAGCCCCGGGCGCCCCAACTCCGCCCCGGCGTGGCCTGCTGCCAGGGCGTCGAAGAAGGCCTGGTTACGCAGGGTGGCGTTTGGTCCGGTCGCCGCGGCAGGCGCAGACCAGGACGTGGTCGCAGAAAACGTCCACCACCTCGCCACAGGCTGGGCAGAAGCACTCCTCCTGCAGGAGCTGGACTCGCAGCCGCCTCTGCCGGCCCACCTGCATGAGGCCGCGCGGGAAGGCGGTGCCGGTGGCCTCGCAGGGCGGCGCCTGGAACCACGCGGCCGCGCCCAGGGCTTGCACCAGAGAGGTGTGCCTTGCCGGCCACGGTGGAGCCCGCCAGAAGCCCGTCGCGCGAGGCGATGTCCACCGCGTCGAAAAAGGCCTTCTGGTTGCCGTGCTGCGCGTGGTCGAACACCACCTGGTCGGCGTCCCGCGCGACTGCGTTGAGGGCCTGCACCGCAGCCGCCAGGCTACCTCCGTCGCGGTCGGGTGTGTTGGAGTAGCCGGGGTAGAGCTGCCGACAGAGGTCGGTGCTCTTCGCTCTGGAAGCTATGTAGGCAGCTGGCGCGCCGAGCAGCTCGAAGCTGCGATCGGTGCGGAGGCGGAAGCCCGCCGGGAAGCCGTCCAGAGACACGTCGGAGGCGTTTCCGCCGGTGGGGACCACTTCACATTTGCCCGGGCCGGTGCTCAGCTGGAGGCCCACCGCGGCAAGGTTCGGGCGGGCCGAGGCCCCGAGACTCGACCATGTCCAGTCGTCGGAGGCTGGGGTGGGGTTGCACGGTTTCCACCGGGGCCGTAGGCAACCCGAGGAGGAGGAGGAGGAGGAGGAGGAGGAGGAGGAGGAGGAGGAGGGCGAGGAGGAGGAGGTGGAGGTGGAGGGGGAGGAGGAGATGGAGGAGTAGGAAGAGGAGACGGAGGAGGAGGAGGAGGAGGGGGAGGAGGATATGGATTTTGTTGACCTCCACGGGCCCAGCGCACAGCGCAAGCAACTGGCAGCGCGGGACCTGCCAGCCCTGACTGCGACTCAGGCAGGCTGGTTAGTCTGAGTCGCCTGAATTGTCGGCTCCAGCGCTCGCGTCCAGGAGGAGGGCCCGTGTGTCTCCATCCTCCTGCGACTCGAGGGCACGCCGCCCGTGCACCAACGCATCTCTAGGAAATGGGGCGGGCTTTATCTCTCGAGCTGCGACGCTGGGCGGACCGAAGAGGGAGAGGGCAGCCTCCTCCTCTTCCTCAAAGCCGCGAGAAGCCGCGAAAAGGAGCCTCCCGCCCCTCTCGCAGCTGCCGTCTCTCGCCGGGCCGAGTCCCCGAAGTCGCACGCACATCCGCCCCTTTAACCTCGAGGGGCCTGACTGCAGTGGGCGCCAGGTGGGACGGGGGCGGAGGGGGATGGCCTGCGGCGGCAGGTGCTGAAGCAGCACCAGAAGCGGTGGCAGACGGAGCGGAGGGAGAGGCGCACTCCAGAACGTGTTCATCGCCACGGACGGAGGGTTCGGAACCATCCTCAAGCACACAAGTGTCAACACAGGCAATACAATTGTCTAAATCGACTGTAACATTCAGCTTATGCTCAGAATAGTGCGGATGAATGCCCTCCACGAGCGCTCGCCACCCATATCTGGCAGCGCGGAAAGGTGGCTGGCACCGCTCTCCTAGGCCTCGGACCAGGGCGCCTGAAGGGTGGCACTTGCAGCGCAGGCAGATAAACAAAACTGACCCACCTGAGCAATTGAGCGCCACCGTACGGTGGCCCAGCTCCTGCTGCCTCGCAGCATGGAGCTTGGGGAAACTAACACAGGAGCCTGGCGGGGGGCAGGTCTCAGCTTTCCTCTGCCCCTGCCGACAAACAGCAAACCTCCAAATGCCATTCCATCTCTCCCACCTGTGAAGCACGGGGGGTGGCACAGCGAAGAGGAAAAGCGCACATTTGGGTACATGGCGCATCGACGGATAACTTGGGCCAGAGCGGAAGCAAATTGGCCGCGATCATATAATCTGCTCTGGCGGCATCGACCAGCTTCGCGACTACCTCCATATCGCCAGGGGCAGACGGGCGAAGCTGAAGGCCGTGCGTAGCTCCAGTGTCTGCGTCCGGGTTACACTTGCGAACAAACAGATCACGAGCTGAGGGGCCTTCCTCCTCGAGGCTGGGGTGGGCTTTAACGTTCACGATGCCGTCTACAGCCTGGCCCTCATTAGCACTGGCTTGCAAAAACATTCCAGAACGAGCCGAAAATGCCGCAGCGTGCGGAGTCTGAGGGAAGTGGGCCCACACAGGGACACTGACCTCTCCAAGAGAATTCGTTGACATGGCCCATGCCGCGCGTGATAATTCACGAACGGGGTGGCGCTGGCAAGAACCATCGATGAAAAGGTGCCCGCCACATCTTTCCATTCGCAGGGGCCCTGGGGGCCTCTGGGCTCATGAGCTCAATGCGATGCCAGGTGTACACCAGGGAGTTGGTCCCTTCAAGGGCTGGCCTGGGCAGCCAGTCGGCGGGGTGAGCAAAAAGTTCCTCTTGCATACAAGCATCTATCTTCTCTGGAGACCTCAGTGATCAGAGCAGCAAGAGCAGCAGCAGCAGCAGCAGCAACAACAAAGGCGGGGATAAGCTGGGCCATTGACTCGGCAACTTCGTCATCGGGGCATTCCCACGACCTGTGGGCGATGGAGTCGGTAGCCTGGCACTTCGGGCACAGAAGGTCGACTGCATATCAAGCGCTTAAAGCGCGACCAGCTGTCCAAATGGCCTAACTAGACAGGCATGGATCCAACAACGCTGGGCAGGGGTGAGTTGTTTGGAACTGCGAGCAGCTTTGGGGATGTCCAGACAGAGACGTTTCCCGACATCCCATATACCATTCAATTCCCGTTCTAAACTCCTCTTGTAGGCATCCCGACACAACGTTTTTAAGAGCTCGGGGGAGGTTACGCCAGAACTATCCTGGCGAAAGACCCAACCATAAGCAAGTGTTCGTAATGCGTTGTGGGTGCCGCTTTCGATGGGGGCTGCCTATGGGGCCACGAAGCGCTCGCTGCCTTGGGTGGGGGAACCGCGTGCGAACTGCGCCATTGGGGCGGGCCTTCGGTGGAGCTCCCTATAGGGCCACGAAGCGCTGCACTGGGCGGGGGAACCGCATGCGAACTGCGCCACGGGGGTCTTCGGTGGAGCTCGCTATGGGGCCACGAAGCGCTGCCCTGGGTGGGGGAACCGCATGCGAACTGCGCCACGGGGGCCTTCGGTGGAGCTCCCTATGGGGCCACGGAGCGTTGCCCAGGGCGGGGGAACCGCATGCGAGAGCAGCCACTGGGGCCTCCGGCGGAGCTCCGTATAGGGCCACGAAACGCCGCCCCGGGTGGGGGAACCGCATGCGAGAGCAGCAACTGGGGCCTTCGGTGGAGCTCACTATAGGGCCACGAAGCGCTGCCCTGGGTGGGGGAAACGCATGCGAGAGCAACCGCTGGGGCCTTCGGTGGAGCCCATCTGGGCCTTCGGTGGAGCTCCCTATGGGGCCACGAGACGCTGTCCTGGCCCGCATGCGAACACCCCCACTGCGGCCTTCGGTAGGGCTCCCTCTGGGGCCACAAAGCGTTGCCCTGGGTGGGGGAACCGCATGCAAACTGCGCCACTGGGGCCTTCGGTGGAGCTCTCCATGGGGCCACGAAGCGCTGCCCTGGGTGGGGGAACCGCATGCAAGAGCAGCCACTGGTGCCTTCCCTATAGGGCCACGAAGCGCTGCCCTGGGTGGGGGAACCGCATGCGACCACCCCCACTGGGGCCTTCGGTGGAGCTCCCTATGGGCCACGAAACGCTGCCCTGGGTGGGGAAACCGCATGCGAACACCCCCACTGGGGCCTTCGGTGGAGCTCCCTATAGCGCCACGAAACGGTGCCCTGGGTGGGGGAACCGCATGCGACCCCCCCCCCACTGGGGCCTTCGGCGGAGCTCCCTATGGGGCCACGAAGTGCTGCCCTGGGTGGGGGAAACGCGTGCGAACACCGCCACTGGGGCCTTCGGTGGAGCTCCCTATGGGCCACGAAGCGCTGCCCTGGGTGGGGGAACCGCATGCGAACACCCCCACTGGGGCCTTCGGCGGAGCTCCCCATGGGGCCACGGAGCGCTGCCCTGGGCGGGGGAACCGCATGCGACCCCCCCCACGGGGGCCATCGGCGGAGCTCCCTCTGGGGCCACAAAGCGTTGCCCTGGGTGGGGGAACCGCATGCGACCCCTCCTTAATTGGGGCTTTCGGTGGAGCTCCCTGTGGGGCTACGAAACGCTGTGCTGGGTGTGGCGGACGCATGCGGGCACCCCCAATGGGGCCTTCGGTGGAGCTCCCTATGGGGCCACGAAACGCTGTGCTGGGTGTGGCGGACGCATGCGGGCACCCCCACTGGGGCCTTCGGTGGAGCTCCCTGTGGGGCCACGAAGCGCTGCCCTGGGTGGGGGAACCGCATGCGAGAGCAGCCACTGGGGCCTTCGGTGGACCTCCCTATTGGGCCACGGAACGCTGTACTGGGTGTGGGGGACGCATGCGGGCACCCCCACTGGGGCCTTCGGTGGAGCTCCCTGTGGGGCCACGAAACGTGTGACTGGTGCGGCGAAGTGGGTGATGATGATGATGACGAGGGCGGTAACGGTGACGATGTCGATGGTGATGACGATGATGATACGGCTAGCCCCTTGCATAATGATGATGGTGATGGTGATGGTGATGGTGATGATGATGCTGATAATGATGATGCTGACGATGATGATGCTGATGAGAGGAGGAGGGAGGGGGCAACGGGAGGAGGAGGAGGAGTGAACGCGGGGCGCTGTCTCTTCAAAACGAGGACCCAACACCAGAGGATGGTTGGGGGTGGGTAACCCCCCCAGAAAAGTGGTAGCCCCTGTCGTCAGCAATCGCCATGAAGTTGGTAATCCTCCAACCCATGCGACCCTCTCGAGGCCAAGCACACTGTGCCAAGCAGAGCGGAGATCTTCAAACGAAAGAGACTCGTCGAAAACTCTCGTGTGCGTGATCCATATCTCTTTACTCCATCTTAAGATCGGTGCGCAGGCAGCTCTCCAGCAAGGGTCGTCAGAGAGAATGCTGACAGCAGTGAGAGATCTGCTCTTGGCCAAGGGTCTAACCGTAGAGAAAGCTTGACCTCATCAGCAGAAGCTGCTGATCGAGGAGGAGGAGGAGGAGGAGGAGGAGGAGGAGGAGGAGGAGGAGGAGGAGGAGGTGGAGGTGGAGGAGGAGGAGGAGGAGGAGGAGGAGGAGGAGGGACGAGGAGGAGGAGGAGCTGGAGGAGGGGGAGGGGGAGGAAGAGATGGAGGAGGAGGACGGGTCGCCCAAGCCCTTCGGAGAAACCCTCCAGTTGGGGTGAGTGAGCATGGAATCAGGAAACTAGAACGGATCGGATTGTGCGTCGGCGGGCTGCTTCGGAACGGAGTCGGAATCGCGTGAGACTGGCCGCGCCAAGATGCACAACAGGACCATGCGAACATCTGGCCGCATCGGATCGTCGGAAGGTCGGAATCGAATCGGGTCGAGCTGGCACGAGTCGACCTCGAGCCCGGCCAACCCAAAAGTGCCCCTCGGACAAGGTCGGAGCCCTGGGGCCCTGCTGGACTCGTCGGAGGTGCTCCGGAGGCCATCTGGGGCTCCCTGGTAGAGCTGCGGTCGACTTTGGCCAGGCCCGCCCCCTGGCAACACCTGCAGCACAGTGGGCAAGGCGAGGAGGAGGACGAGGAGTAGAAAGAAAAGCATGAGCCCCGAGGCCTTCCTCCGGGGCCATTTGAAGGGGCCCTGGGACACACAAATAAACAGACACAACTAACCAGATTCCCAATATTTTCAAATATTTTCTGGGTTTCTGTCTTCCCCCCCACTACCCATATTTTCCCATATTTCCGGGGGAATCGACGATTAATTGTGTCTGTGTTTTTTCCGCTCCTGACCATTTCACCATCCCGAACCGCTTGTTGGCGGCTCAGGGGCCCATGAGTGGCCACGGAGAGGCCGAGAGCAGCGAACTCACCTCCGGGCCCGCCTAATTACCCGTGTGCTCCGCGGCAGGGAAGACAGAAGAACGACGAGCAGCATCTAGGTCGGGCATGTCCTCCTGCGGGGCCGTCGACCCCGAGGTGGCTCTCGCTCGAGCGGGGACGCCCGTCCGGCAGCACACACACACACACACACACACACACACACACACACGGCCCCTTCGGCATTCCACCCCGTTCCATCGAAGGTTTGGCCGAAGTATGGGTGTCAGCTAGCATCAGTGTTCCTATTATTCGCGATCGCGCCAGCGACCAGGCCCGCTCCCCCCCCCCCTGGCCACGTCACGTCCTGGGGATCAAGCATCCCTGAGCACTTTCCAGACGGCGCTGGCGCGAATCGTGGCGTAACCGGCCCCCTCCCCGCCCCCCTTCAAATGGTCACGCCCATCAAAGCTAGAGGATACAACTGTCTCTTGGCAGCTCACGAGAGGACCCCTCGATCACCTGAGGGTAGCCGAAGTACGGGTGCTAGTTTAGAGTAACTGACAAAAAAGCACATTGTTTCTTGGAGGTCCTCGCAAATTTTCTGGTTTGGCGCTGGACCCCCCTCGCTGGCGCACGGAGCGCGCCTGGGGCGGCGCTGGAGGCGCCAACAGGGGGAGCCTGTACAAATCCAAGAAAAGCCGCGCGGACCTCCGCGAGACTATGTTTTTGCCGATTCTTGTTCTTCGACAATCAACTTACTCATCGATCAGGGAGATGGGGGAGGACATCAGCGAGAGGAGGAGGCCGTGATGCCGACCCCACAGGATGGTCGGGAACGGAAATGAGAGGGAGCGGGAGGCGGTCTGGGAGGAGACGCGGGGTGCTGCAGCTCCGAAACGAGGACCCGACGCCGCAGGATGGCTGGAAAAAACGGCACGGCGCTCGGTCAACTTTCAGGGAGACGTAAGGCTCGGGTACGGGGGACTCGGGTTGGCCTGACGGTGCCATCATAAAAATGACAAGACCCAATCTGAAATCTGACGCGAGCTCCCGCTGCAGACATCCCACGAAAACTGGACCGTCAAAATTCATGACGCGCTCGTCGAAAAAAATCGGCAAACACAAGTTCCGGCTTACTCGAGTCTTACGATGGGTCTGATTTCCACCACCACCACCAATGTTGGAGGGGGAGGGGGTCCTCCTACTCCTCCTCCTCCTCCTCCTCCTCTCCCTCCCCCTCCTCCTCCTCCTCCTCCTCCTCCTTCTCCTCCTCCTCCTCCTCCTCCTCCTGCTCTTCGTCCTCCTCCTCCTCCTCCTCTTCGTCCTTTACCTCCTTCCCCCTCCAACTCGTGGTGGTGGAAAACAGGCCTCGCATCTTACGCTTCGCCGAAGCTCGGGAAAAGGACTCCTCGATCGGGCCGCCGGCAGCTTTGAAATCTGCACCGGGTGGAGGGGCCCCGCGGCGGGCCCTGCAGACAAGCTCGAGACCGTTCGACCCCTCCCAGGGGGGGCCAACCACTGCATAGAGCGTGCGACGAGCGGCACAAAGTTAACTCCTTCGCTGCAAGGGGCGCCTGCCCCAGGGCGGCTGGAGAGCTCATACCCCTGCGGCGGCACGTCAAAAGGTAAACTTCCCGGCCGCCCTGGGGCAGCGCCCCCGGCGACGAAGCGGTGTACTGTATACCGTTCTTCGCCCGCTGAACTTAGAGAGCATCTATGCTTCGCGATAGCGGCCGTTGCCGGCCCCGGCCGCCCCCCTCCCACCATCCCCGGCAACTCCACGACTCGTGCTGATCTCCGAATTGGCTTCGGTTGTTCCTCAACCTTTCCCGAGGGCACCGGCGCGGAGCGTGACGTTGCCGGCCCCCCGCCCCCCTCCCCCCTCCCCGGTGGCGCCCGCTATCGCCCGGAAAGCTCTCTGAGAAAATCGGCTCATGAGAGGGCTCCTCGATCAGGGAGATGAGGGAGGACATCAGCGAGAGGAAGGGCGTGATGCCGACGCCGGCGCCAACCGCGACGAGGATCGGGCGGGACAGCGCGCTCTGCGCCGGGGCCGCGTAGGGCCCGTCGAGCCGGACGCGCGGCAGCGGCGCGGAGCCGTCCTGGAGCGCGCGGGGCCGATCGGCATCGGGTCGGCAGATCCAAGGGGCCCATGGGCACACAAAGGAATTGCACCAGTGAAAACGCCCCAATCATGAGATGGTTTGAGATGGGATCGATAAAAGATCGTTATAAGGAGATCGACAGGGAGCCCGGGAACCTGGGGACCCGGAACCCACCGAAATCGGCCCGGAACCAATAACCACGAACCCGGGAACCCGGAACCACGAACCCGGGAACCCAGCCGGCCACCAAAATCGGCGGGAAACTTTCGCTAAATCTTTCAATATTCGCTAGGACCCCTTCAGTGCAAGCACTGATTGGGGAACAGGCGCAGCTTGCAAGATTTCATGTTCCTTCCAGGTGTCCTGAATTGTTGCTTTTCCCCTCCAGCCACCACTTTTCTTCAAACTTTCATGATAATCAGCGTTGATCAGTGTTTGTACCGAATCTTTCTCCTGCAGATCGGATTCGGAGGTGGCCGGGGATTCTGAGCTGTATGGACCCCGGGAAAAACTGTCGGGTGGGGGGATAGGGGCAAATCCGCTCAAAAACGGTCCCTCTGCGAAGGTCCAAGCTTTTTACCCTGGATCCGATTTTCCTGGAAAATCCATATTGGCGCAAGCTTCACCCCGGATCTGCTTTTGACGGCCCCGGGTCCGAAAACGGCTCCTGGATACAGAAAAAAACAAAAAAGCCCTCCTCGAACCCAGAGCATCATCCCCGCCCGCTGGCCAGAGCCAGCGGTGGGCCACCTCGGACCACCCGCCGACGCCCAGGTCGGATCGCGCTCGGCAAGTTGGGTCGGCGAAGTGAGCGCTTGCCAATCCTGGATTCCGGGAGGGGGGGAGGCCGTGGGCCTGCGCCGATCGGCGAAACCATAAATACATCAGACATGTGATCCAAGGGCTCCCAGCTTCGCGCTTCGCGCTGCGCGAAGCGCGAAGTGCGAATAACTTCGCGCTCTCGCGCCGCCTCCCAGGGGAGAAGAGGAGGATGAGGAATCGGAGCCGAACCGCGAAGCGCGAAGCGCGAATAACTTCGCGCCCTCGAGGGCGCCCTTGGTGATCGGCCACTCACGATTTTGCTGCTGCTCCCCGGACCTCTCCCCGGGGTGCGCTCCGACCAGAACCTCGGGGCGGATCCGGCGGTGGCGACGAGGGCCTCCTATAGGAGGCCCCCGAGGGAAAACAGGGGAAGGGTAGCGTTGAGTCGGGCCTGTCCCCCTACATGGGGACTTTCGACGAAAAATAAAGAATACCCCAAAAATACACCCAAAAGATCAAAAATAATCGAATAATAGTCCCCAGACTATGTTTGAACTATTTGTTGGGGTATTTTTTATGTTTCGTCGGAAATCATCCTGTAGGGGGACAGGTCCGACTTAGGGGTAGCGGCATGGAGTGCCCTTTCCTCCTCCGAACGCCGCGCCTCGCACCTCGCGCACTGCGGCTGCGCGCGGCTGCCCCCGCGCCCCTTGCGAGGCCGCCCTCGGAGGGCCGGCTGCACGCCATGAGAGGCCCTGGGCAAGAGTGGCCTCCAGACTCCCTCACCCTTTTCTGACCCTGAAGCTTGCAGTTCATGACTTTTAAAGGATGGCGAGAGGGTCCTTTCTAAAGTGTGGCTCTCGCCGGAGCGCTGCGCACACTCGTCGTAAAGTTTGCAGCAGCGAGTGCGCGACTCAACGGGGCGCGTGGGGTGGCCAAGCACCAGCGCGCATGAGACTGCTGCAGTGCGAGCGCGGCCGCAGGAA